CGACTCTGAATAAGGTTTCTGAGAAGCAGTTGATGAGCTTGAACTGCTAACCTTGCAATTCAAACCAACCTTGCAGTCCAGCTCAAAGCCCACAGCACCACACCAGGATTCCTAAAGTAGACACTATTAATTCAAGCCTCACCAGTTAAATAAGAAACCAGATTCCAGAAAACAACAACAACAACAACAACAAAAAACACCCTGGCATATGGGATAGCATATAGGAAAGCACAATATGCTAGATCCATCATGGCTTCAGACAAGCTGCCCTAAGGAATATAGTTAAAAATTGTTTTTATAACAACTGATAAGCCTGATTCAAATATAGCTTAAAATTATGAATCTTCTATTTTGTGAAAGAGTACCATATTGTTAAATAAAATTCGTTTTCATTTTTTCCTTTATTTTTTCTAATATCATATAATTAATTAGTCATTAAACAATGAATATAAATAAATAAGATTTGGTAACAATACCTCTTAATAGAACACTCTTGATTACAGAGATGTAGTCTTCTGGCTCCTGCTTAGTTGAGATCTCCAATGTGCCTCCAGAGATATTTAGTAATTTATAGAGCTGATCTGAACTCTTCACCCCACATAGCAGAGTAACCACATTTTCTCGGGAATGCAGCACCTTTTCCAGAAACTGACCTTTTTTCGGAGTTAGGTCATTAAGGAGGCTATTCGATAATATTAAAAGTTTACATTTGTAAGAGTTCAAACTCAGCAATTCCAAATGTCGAAGAGAGAAATTCTCCAAGCAGTATAACAAGATTGCTTCCTTTTTAGCCACATGTAAAAAAATGTCCCTCAAGTATAGAGACCATTCTTCAGCATCTTCTTCATATATCATTAGGATATCTTTTGTATTCTCTGTAAAAGGAGAAAAATCGTATATTAATTTTGTTGTATTCCAAATGATAGCAATAGGTTTTATTTCTTGAAATGTTAATGTGATCTATGGTAGTGGTGGTGGTGGTGATGGTGTGCTGTGGAGTTGATTCTGACTCATAGCGACCCTACAAAGATTTTCTGAGACTGTAAATCTTTACAGGAGCAGAAAGGCTCATCTTTCTCACATGAAATTGCTGCTGATATTGAAC